CATGTGGCTAAAACAGCCTTTATTGGATGTAAATGAAATCAACTCGAGGCTAGATTTGGTACAAGCATTTGTGGAGGATCCTGCACTTCGCCAAGATTTGAGGCAGCATCTGAAAAGAATTTCAGACATCGAGCGGCTGATGCACAATCTTGAGAAGAAAAGAGCTGGTTTGCAGCATATTGTGAAACTTTATCAGGTACAATCTATGTCTTATAAGGTTATCTACCATGTTGAGGTTCTGTTGGTAAGATCATATATGAATATTTGTAAAACAAAATGTTAGTATAATGTAGTTATCTTATAGGTGTACCTATGCATTTAAGCTGACTCATTTTTCCTTTTCGAGTGCAGTCGTGTATAAGACTTCCCTACATTAAGAGTGCCCTAGAACGCTATGATGGACAGTTCTCCTCACTGACCAAGGAAAGGTATTGGGAACCCCTTGAGTTATGGACTGATGATCGCCACTTAAATAAGTTCATTGCTCTGGTGGAAGCTGCTGTTGACCTTGATCAACTTGAGAATGGAGAGTACATGATATCATCTGGTTATGACCCAGCACTGTCTGCACTGAACGAAGAGCAAGAGTCGTTGGAGCACCAAATACAGAATTTGCACAAACAAACTGCCAATGATCTCGATCTCGCCTTAGATAAGGCTTTAAAATTAGATAAAGGTACACAATTTGGACATGTTTTCAGAATCACAAAGAAGGAAGAGCCAAAAATACGGAAGAAGCTCACCACACAATTCATTGTCCTGGAAACTCGAAAGGATGGAGTGAAATTTACCAACACAAAGCTTAAAAAGTTAGGGGATCAGTATCAAAGAATAGTTGAAGAGTATAAGAGTTGTCAGAAAGAGCTTGTTAACCGAGTTATTCAAACTACAACAACTTTCTCTGAGGTAGTATACTTTGCTGTGTTTTGTGCTTAATCCTATTTCTTGTTCTGGATTAAAGGATTTTTCATCTCCAGGTGTTCTGGTCTGTAGCTGGGTTGCTCTCTGAATTGGATGTCTTACTTAGTTTTGCTGATTTGGCCTCTAGTTGTCCTACTCCTTACACTAGGCCAGTCATCACGCCACCGGTAATCAGAGACCTTTTGTTTTCTTTCTATTTCTTATGGAATAACAATAATGTTTTTTTTCCCTTGTTAGTACATTGTATAGTTTGACAATAATTATTGTGCTATTGGCTATAATAGGATGAAGGGGATATTATATTAGAAGGCAGTAGACATCCCTGTGTGGAGGCTCAGGACTGGGTGAATTTTATACCCAACGATTGTAAACTTGTGAGTATTTGTGAACCCAGGAAAAACAAATTAAAAAGAACAAGATATTGGTGAATTTATAAGTTGGATGGGTTCTTATGTGCTTGTTACTATTTCTGCTGATTAGGTGAGAGGAAAGAGTTGGTTCCAAATCATCACAGGACCCAATATGGGTGGTAAATCAACATTTATCCGACAGGTGTGATTTTAGTGACTTAGTCAAATGCTTCTTCTACTGCTTCCATAACTTTCCATGCAACTATTACATTCTTGCACTTGATATGTGGCTCGTGTCACCAAAATTGGACACCCCACATCCATGCTCAATTCCAAATGCTTTAATCACTATTAACAAGTGACTGAATTTTCTTTGCACTGGCAGGTTGGTGTGAATATTCTGATGGCACAAGTTGGTTGTTTCGTTCCTTGTGACTCAGCTAGCATTTCTGTTCGTGATTGCATTTTTGCTCGGGTGGGAGCTGGCGACTGCCAAGTGAGTTTCCTGGCATATTCTCTTGAAGTTTGAACTTCTTTTTACGATATTTAAATGATCTTTTAGTTCTCTGTAGTCTTCTTATCTTCCGCTGGAGATTTTTGTCTTTCCATTTTGGAAATTTAATTCTGTTTCTTCTTCTTTCTAGCTACGTGGAGTTTCTACCTTTATGCAAGAAATGCTTGAGACTGCATCTATACTGAAAGGAGCTACAGACAAGTCACTAATAATTATTGACGAGTTAGGCCGAGGGACTTCAACTTATGATGGATTCGGTTGGTTTAACTCTTGAACCTTCTTTTTTCCAATGTATTTGATACTGCTAATTTTTTATGTTACAGTCTTGTTAATGCATGATACATTTAGTTACACTTGATAGAAATGTTTACAGCATTGTCTTATCAGTATTTGCTATGGTGCTCAGGTTTAGCTTGGGCCATTTGTGAGCACCTTGTTGAAGTGATTAAAGCACCTACCTTATTTGCAACCCACTTTCATGAATTAACTGCTTTAGCTCATGAAAATGTCGTTGAGGACACTAATATGAAGCAAATTGTTGGCGTAGCAAACTATCATGTTAGTGCACATATTGACTCATCAAGCCGCAAGTTGACTATGCTGTACAAGGTAGATGTATTCTCTAGTTCTTGTCTAGATTATTTATGTTGTCGTTTCCAGAATCTCATGTAGTTGATTTGGAGGGAGATGTCATGTACTTATGTTTGCAATTAAGCTCTATAATGTTTCTTCCATTTTCTCTTTGTTTTTATGCTAGTGCATGCGATCTTGGTTGTGCAAAACTGAACTCACTCATTTTCTTGTTTTGATCATACTTTCCAGGTTGAGCCAGGGGCTTGTGATCAAAGTTTCGGTATTCAAGTTGCAGAGTTTGCAAACTTTCCTGAAAGTGTTGTTTCCCTTGCTCGAGAAAAAGCTGCTGAACTGGAGGATTTCTCTGCTACTACAGTCACGCCAAATGATGCTACAGAAGAGGTGATGACTATATCTTGGAATAATTAACAACGCTATAACTTCTTGCGTTGCCTTACCTTGGTGTTTGATGATACAAATCTAATGTACATTGACTTCTTTGAACTCGGATGCATAGAGTACTAGTAGGAATTGCATCGCACTATTAGATCGATACATTGCTCACAGGCACCGGACCGCAACACTAGTATAGAAACTTTAAGCATCATTCTTTCCGCACTTGATTTAGCAAAGAGAATTGATCTGAATTTGTTTAATCTTTGGATTTTATCAATAAAAGGTGTCTGATTGAAAAATCTCGGTTTACAGGTTGGTTTGAAGCGTAAGAGAGAGCACGACACTGGTGATACGACTAAAGGAGCTGCTCGGGCGCACAAGTTTCTGGAGGAGTTTTCTAATCTGCCATTGGAGACGATGGATTTAAAGCAGGCTCTGCAAAGAGTTTGCAAGATGAAGGATGAGTTGCAAAAGGATGCAGCTAATTCCCAATGGCTCCAGCAGTTTTTCTAGTCGTTCTTCAGATGGAGGGACCGGTAATTTATGTTGTGAGATGCACGTAAAGCTTGTTTTGTGTATATGTTTTGGGATGTATGCAACTGCACCAAACATATTTCTGCATTGTTTTGGTTATTATGGGCTGGGCCCTCTGGCGAGGAGATCCAAGAGCTCGACCGTTGGATCATTTGGCGGGCCGTGTTTGTCTGTTCATATCAGTTGAGCTTTTGTTTGGAACTGTTCTTATAAAAGTTAAAAGTAGGTGTGGGGTGGTAATTTGTGTTCTAGAGTTTGAGATCCTCTCCGGATTTCACTTCTCGGAATCCAAAACTTTGTTTTGTGTGAGATGAGCCGGTGAGATGGGTAAATAGGAACCGCATGATTCAACTTGACTAGTCTGAATTTCATGGTCCTTGGACGAGGATCTCAACTTGTGTTCAATTCAGAGTACATTGGTACGTTTAAAATATCATCAAATGATTTTTGTTTTTGCTACTTAGTACTACGGTCTAGTATTGTTTCTCTTCATTTGTGAATGAAAGATCTTAGATTCGATTTGTCAAAGATAAATATGAACGATGCTAGAGACTCCGACTCATCCCGTTGCTTATCCATTGCTGATAATCTCACAGCCTGTAACTTCAAGCTGCACGATAACAAATACTTATCTTTAACACAGGTTGAGGGAGGAGATAAGTATCCTTACCTCGTGGGCTGTAACAATTGGACACCTAAAGTTGTACGCGCTTGGGGCTGTCACTCCAACGTAATTGTACGTGCTGGTTGTCATATCACTCCAACATAATTGTACCCCGATTAGCCAAATTATTGGTTTGATGATACGGATGTGCTTTTATAAAAAATAGATAAAAAAAAAAATTGAACTAAAAAAGATATTTGTTAAACATTTAAAAACAGCTTATTTTTACGGTTTTGGATGAAAAAAAAGAATCTGAAAACGTGAAGCAGCAAAAATAAGCTTATTCTCACAAGTACAGCAGAAATATCTTTTTTTCAAAGCACAGTAATACCAAACCAATAATCAGCTACAATATTCGCAGTAGTGATTTCCACTCACCTTTTAATCTTTTTAACAATTTTTTTTTAAATGAAATAACTATTAATAAGTCACGATTATCTATTTTTTTGGGAAACCAAAAAGACTTCGTTACCGATTAAGAAGTCCAACAAGTAGAGCATGCGGTCCGTCTGTAGAACTAGGGCATCAGACACACATAGGATAAGAAGCACGAATGAATTATGTGGAACATGACGCAAAGAGTGAGAGGATTCAGAACAAACAAGATTCATTATCCAGTGATGATGTACGGTGCTGAAGTTAAATCAAAATTGGTAAAAATAATCCGTAGATTTGAAGAAGATTAAACCAAGATCCTCTTTTGAAAACATTAAAAGAAAGAAATTAATAACCAAATCCGAAAGTGAGATTGATGATATACGAAGTTTGGTATTGCTGTGCTTTAAAAAAAAACTGTTTTTGCTTCTATTGTGATGTGAGAATAAGTTCATTTTTACTGCTTCATGTTTTCAGCTTTTTTTTCATCCAAAACTGTGAAAATAAGCTGTTTTTCAATGTTTATCGAACACCTTTTTGAGCTTAACTTTTTTTTTTATACTTACTTTGTATAAAATTATCTCAATACCGAACCAGTACTAAATCATAGAAGGAAAATGATCCAATTTTAAGACTTGTTTTTTCCTTTCATGGGCTGGATAAGATAAGATGATATGGATATTGTACCTTTAACTTTTAGTAGACGTACCAAACTTTCAGTGCTAAAATGGACCGCACAATCCGGGTGCCCGAATCGGAAAGAGCTCAGTCGGAGCAGGCCACGCCGGCCGTTTCCGCCGCAGTGCCGTCACTTTGCCGTGGAGTGGAAGCAAACAATATCCGTAACTTTATTTATTTTATGTTTTTTTCAGAGGAGAGAGAGTAAATGCGATTTGTTTTTTATTCATGAAAGAAAGGGGACACGAAAGAGAGGAAGGAGAGAGAGAGAGAGAGAATATTTTCGTGGCCCTTTCGTTTCAATGGCGCCTACTGGAACAGCAACGTCTCTCTGAAATTTCTCACAATCTGAAGTCTCGGCTCGCAGCCAACGACGTCGTTTTACGGTGATGATGAACTGGCGGAGAGTGTTGAAGTCCGTGCAGGCCCTGGCGGCCCACAGCCTCCTCTTCTCCTTCACGCTACTGCTCGTTCTCAAGCTGGACGGCGTCGCCGCCTCCTACTCTTGGTGGTCCGTTTACTCTCTCTCTCTCCTCTGATTTCAGCTGTATTTTTGTTTAATTTGAATGGAATTGTCTAATTTTTAGGGTGGGAAAGTTTGGGAAATTTTTTGTTTGATTGATGAGGCAGGTGATGGGGTTTGTTTGGTTTGATGGAAAATTGGTTTGCATGTGAACAGTGTCAATTTTATTGAGAAGAAAAGGAAACAAGTTTGAATTTTTGTTGTAATTGGTGAGAAAATGAAATTTGAAAGTGTGTAATTTGGTGGAGAAATGGCAGTTGGTGTGAAAAAAATGAGATAAAAAGACTAACTTGATGATATTTACAGTGGAGAAAGGAATTGGTTTTCTTATAGATTGGGAAATTAGTTCACTGGTGGCATAGGTAGTACACGTTTAGGATCAAGGAGGGTTCTTTAATACGAACGGGATTCGAAATTTTCGTTCTTACAGATGAAGGGTTATTGTCCGTGTTCTTTTCGTTCTGCGTTTTAATTAACATACGAATTATTTGGTTAGAACTCTGAAGAAAATAGATAAGAGCTTGTATTGAACTGTTTCGTGCCAATGGTCAGAACACCCGTTGCCCATTTTGTGTGCTACGTACTTTAGGAAACCGTCTTCCAACTGATAGCGGTATTGGCACCTCCTGGAAGAGATTTCGTTGTGAAAGTTAGATAGAGAATAGGTGACTTTCATTTAAATGCATATGTTAATTAGAAGTTTAGAACCACCACCCGAGGGCATGTGTCTTCTTAGTATCAATCACTTTGATTGGTTTCTGAATGTGTTGTGTTTTGGTTGCAGGATAATTTTCTTTCCACTTTGGATATTTCATGCAGTTGTTGCCCGAGGAAGATTCTCACTACCTGCTCCTTCAGTTCCACACAGTCGTCATGTATGTCATTGTATTTCGTTGCAATTCAGTAGATTATTTTCACTACACTATAATTTATCATAAAAAATTGTGAATATGCACCACTAAGATTTTCTCTGTTGTACTGTACAGTGGGCACCATGTCATGCTATTGCCGCTACACCATTGCTAGTTGCATTTGAGTTGCTCCTTTGTATATATCTTGAAAGTGTTTCCGGTATGCACCCAACTTCTTTCTTTTTATCCTTGAAAAAATAGTTTTTGGGACTGATGCCTACTTTCATGTGTGGGAAATGTATGCTGGGACTGATACCTACTTTCATGTGTGGGAAATGTATGCAGAAGATGTTGAACAGAATGAACTTTATTTATTTTTCTTTTAATGCATCAAACTGTCAACTCCTTACTGAACCAGTATGGCTTAAAAAATGCCCTGTTACTAAAAGGATTTCACCTTTGCATAATGGAATGAGTCCTAGTCTACAATGCACGGATATGGCAGTTCTGTCGCGTATCACGTATCGGATACGTGAATGGATACAATATGCCTCCGATACGGTCGGATACGCATTGGATACGTATCTGTATCAACGGATACGGCATTTGACAGATGAATACGGGTATCCGACGGTTTGGATACGGATATCCCCGCCATGGCCTTTTGACACAATCTGGTGGAAGAAGGCCTCACGACGGAGATGACACAATCTGGTGGAAGGAGACCTTGCGAAGAAGATGATGCGATCTGGTGGAAGAAGGCCTAGCACTGAGATGACGCGATCTGGTGGAAGGAGGCCTCGTGAAGAAGATGATGTGATATGGTGGGAGGTCGACATGCCATTTCGTTTATTTCTGTAGAGAAAATCGACACCACATTATTTCTTTTATTATTTTTTTAGGGTTTAAATGGGACTAAAGCTCAAAACTCACAAAACCACATAGCCCACCAGATCTACACCACTACCATCCTTTCTTTTTGAGAGTTTGAATTATATAAATTTAAATTTGGGTGATTAATATTTTTTATTGTTATTTAAATATATGTTTTATTATATAAATTTGCCGATCGTGTCTTCATTTTTAGAAATTTGACTTATCCCCATGTCGTGTCATGTCATGTCCTTGTGTCTGTGTCCATGCATGGTAGGTCCTAGTGCAAGACCCTAAATAGTTATCTCTTGTGCAGTTCATGGTTTTGCAGCTGTCAACTTGAAGGTTGTCTTTCTACCCTTACTGGCATTCGAAATAATTATTCTAATTGACAATTTCAGGTATCTCTTTTGACATACATTATTCTGTTGTATCTCATCTTTTAGTATAACAGATCACTGCTTATTTTTATTGGGAGAACATATCAAAAACGTATTATATAATTAAGAATATGGAAATATGTATCGTGTTAATCATACCTCCCCTGTCACTTTCCTTTCCCCCCCTAGTATTCTGCTGATTTTAATCGTTATTCATTTCTTTAACAGGATGTGCAGGGCTCTAATGCCAGGGGATGATGAAAGCATGAGTGATGAGACAATATGGGAAACACTTCCTGTAGGTTTTATTTCATTAGTTGATAAACTGTCCAAGGATTAACAAACTTTTTCATACCATCATTAATATGTGTAGAAGATAGTGTCATACAGATGATAGCAATGGTTAGCTTTTCCTACAAGATTTCCAAAAGTCTCTTGCCATGGTTCTCAAGTGGAAATGAATAGTTTTCCTATGATATTTCTTGCAATTTTGTTTTATCCTTTTCTACTTGGTCCAGTTTTCTTGTCCAAACTTACTACTTCTGTAATGACATCATGGCATGTCTATTTATGTTATCTTTAACTTTCAGATATAGTGGGAAAATAGTTTCACTTTAGGGTGGTTTTTCCTATTTAGTAAGTATTGATTTAATATTTGATGTGAGAGTACGAAGTGCCTTTTGAAATTCCCTCCTGTCTTACTTTCTGTTCAACTTAAACGTTTGTTTTACCTATTTTTAGAAAGTCAATTTTGGAAGTGTCACTTATGGTTTCCGAATGTATTTCTTGTAGCATTTCTGGGTAGCAATCTCCATGGTTTTCTTTGTTGCTGCTACAGTGTTCACCCTGCTGAAGTTATGCGGTAATTTCTGTAACTCCTTGCTGTCAAATGTAACAATGAAAAATGCCGTCAAATTGGTGTCTTCACTTATTACTCATCTGTAATATCCTTTCTCTGGATAGTCTAATTGATCCAAAGAATTATCATCTTATATATACATACTTACATATAGAATTCTCACTGTATACATGTATATATGTATGTGGTGGGGAAGAGAGAGAGAGAGAGTCCAAGGGAGTGTTTTAATGTTCACTAATTGAGATCTATCTCATATGAAATGTGCAGGTGATGTCGATGCTCTTGGTTGGTGGGATTTATTTATAAATTTTGGGTACAGTTTTTGTGCCTCTTGTGCCTACATATCCTATTTCGCACGTACATTTTCCGGTGCTTTCATATATAAATTAGAGATTCTGCTTCTATTTTGGTTGACTAAGAAGTGCATATATTTCACAGTATTGCAGAATGCTTTGCCTTTCTTGTCTGTACAAAGTGGTCTAATCCAGTGATTCATAGAAGTGCTCATTCAAGAGAAGCTACTTCATCTTCTACAACTATTAGATATCTTGACTGGAATAGCGGTTTAGTAGTTTCAGCAGAAGAGGATCAAAATCACGATAGAATGTGTGGTCTGCAAGATATTGGTGGGCATCTTATGAAAATTCCCGTGATTGGTTTTCAAGTTCTCCTTTGTATGCGCCTTGAGGTATGTCATGTTTCTGGGTTGTGGTTCATGGCTACATTTTGGGGAATCTTATTAACCAACCTTCTGTAACTTCAAATTTCAGGGAACCCCAGCAAATGCTAGACATATCCCACTTCCAGTTCTCTTCTCTCCTCTATTTTTACTCCAAGGTGCCGGTGTACTATTGTCTGCATGTAGGTTGGTGGAGAAAATTGTCCTTTTGTTGCGTACTGAGGCTGGCACCGGATTATATTTTAGATTTTCTTCAAGAGCTCATGACTGCTTCGGGTTTTTGCACCGTGGTTCTAGGTAGAAAGCTTTTGTTTTTGTTTTTTTTTGTTTATCAACTCTTCCCTGTTCTGAAAAGATCTTTAATACGAAGATTTCAACCCATTGGATTTATATAAGCAGTAGGTGCAGTGAATATCCTATGGAATGATTAAAATTGTTTACTGCAGGCTACTGGGCTGGTGGTCGATTGATGAAAGAAGTCCAGAAGAAGATGCCAGACTGTTTCATGAGGGGGCTTCAGGGTTAGTATTGTTCTTGTCTTCTATGTATAATTTATTCAAATGTGTTACAGTTTGCAGTTTGAACTATCTTAGGGTAATTAACAAATTCATAAAACTTCTAGATGTAGCGTTTCTGACATTTGTATATTTGGTTCCTAAAATGCAGATATAACACTTTTTCTGGTTATCCACCTGAGATAGTGAAGAAAATGCCCAAGAAGGATCTCACTGAGGAGGTGATCATAGCGCCTTCCTTTTTGTTGCTTTTCGCTAGCATTATGATTTGTATCAGTCCAAAAAATAATTAAGTTACAATTTGTATGTGTATTGGCCAATTTTTTCCTCTCCCTCCTTTATGTTGTTAATATTGTTTGTGATTAGGTCTGGAGACTTCAAGCAGCTCTTGGTGAACAGACAGAAATCACCAAATACAGCCAGCAGGAGTACGAAAGACTTCAAAATGTAATCTGATCTCCATCCGTAACTAGTTGTAGCGCATGCGCATGTGTTATTTCATTTTCAGAATCTGGAGATCTTCGATTGTGATTGAAATTTTCTATGACACTCTACTGGTCAGGAAAAAGTGTTATGTCGCGTTTGCTTTGAGGGAGAGATCAGCGTGGTCCTGCTACCATGTCGACATCGCGTCCTTTGCAGGTACAATCATATTATTGCTATGCTTTTTTGTCAATTTGATATAGATGTATTCGTGCTCATTGTTTTTCAATATCGTGCAGTTCCTGCTCTAACAAGTGTAAAAAGTGCCCGATATGCCGTGAATCAATCGAGGAGCGCTTACCTGTCTATGATGTTTAGGTTTGAATCCACCCTGCGTCGAATTATGTTTACAATATGGAACTGGGGTACATAGAGCGGGACGATAACCTTGATTCAGCACATGTTCTGAGCACAGATTATACTGTAACTTCCATGGAGTTTTTCTGGTGCTAGTTAAGCAAGGCAAAGGATTATAGGAGATACAGGATGTGCAGTCACTTTTACTAAAACTGAGTAGCTTTTTTCTCTCAGTTTTTCTACCTTTTGAAACTGTAAATATACAGAGGGGGAATTACTATCATAACAAGTAAGTTTTCGTATGCGATATGGTAGCATGGATGACGTCAATATTCCGGGAAATTGATACAAAAGATGGAGGTCATTTCATAGGAGATTTGAGAAAAAAGTATTTCGTTTAAATTTTTTACTTCATACGCACTTTTTTTAATTTTCGACAGTTGAATTGAAAGAATTGAAGTTGCAGCATTTCTCACAATTTCATTGAATACAAAAATATACCGTCAATCATAAGTGAGTGTTACGAAGGATACATTCTATATATACTAAAACTCAGTTAAGGAGCTTCATTGTTCCTAAGCACAGTGAAAGAGCGGAAATACCCCAATTTACTGTTTAATTTGTTCTGTCTTTTTCTTACGTGCACAGTGAAATGACGAAAACGGGCATGGTGTACGTGTTGTTTTTCTTATTTTTATAATTCATATCAAGTGAATACTTGAATCAAGCATTTTTTTTTTCAAGTGAAAACTTGTAAGATAATTGTTCAGCTGCATATGGATTTGCTTTTGTTGCACTGTGCTGCTTTAAAGTTCTGGATTGGTGCTATTAGTGAAGAATGAAGATGCCTCCTGTGATACTTTTTTTCGAACTGTCTCTCGTAATGGAATCACTCCCTCGAACGGCGCTGGCTGCGCAGTTCGTCGTTGTCCAGTATTCCTTCAAAATTCCACTATCTCTCTTCGCTCTCTCCGACTTGGTGCGTCTCTATTCTTCCAGGTACACCCATATCTATATCCCAAACGACTCTTTGTATGCATCTATTTGTTAGAGAAGGCTTTTGCCTTTTGGGTTCAATTTTATCTGCTCTCTGCGTTGGATTTGATGTCTTCTCGGTCCTTACTTTTTTGTCCAGCAATGGAGCTTGCATTATCGCTTGAGAAATTGGCAAATGAAAGCTGCTTCACTTCCACAGTGTAAAACATTCATTGTTATTGTATGATGTCTTCTTAATATAAGATGATTAGGTTTAGGTGATTATATTTTGTTGGAAGCTAACCAGCTCCTGGAGTCGGGGAGTCGAAGGCAGCAAGATACTCCCGAGCAAAAGGATGTCATTTGCATCGAAGAAGAAGAAAGAGAATGAAGGGTTCTAGTCTCCAACGGCTAGTTTTGTTTTTTAAATGTTTGTGTAAGTGTGTGAGTGACAAGTTTACACTTCAGATTAAATCACTTAACCCCAAATGAAGGGTTAGGATGTAATTTGGAGTAGTAAGGCTTAATGGTTGTTAAAGCCTCTTGTCAATCACCTTTTTAGATAAGTATGGGTGATGGAAATGCACCATACTCTTGTGTAATGTTCACACTACTTATTCAATCAAGTCTGCTGCATTATTAGCACAGCAGAAATCAATCTCCAAGTTCTTTTTCAATTCTCTACTATCCTACCCAAGAAACCGATTCAAACACTCAATCAAAAACACAAAATAAACAAATTTTATCATGGCCTCAGAGCTTTGTTACTGATCTTACAACTTTCGGAGCGTAATCTGTGCAAGATAAGATCTTTGGGAGCACCAACGTAGTGTCTTCTATAACAACAATCAACAAACAATTCTGGAAATGAAAGGATCCAGCAGTAGCAGTGAGCTAAAAGCTCCAGTCTTTGATGGGGAGAATTATGATTTTTGGAGAATAGGAATGACAACCATTTTCAAATCCTATGATCTATGGGATATGGTTCAACATGGGTATGAACTACCTGAGATGGAGATCGATGCTCTAGAGGAGGATCTCACAGAAACATAACTCAAAACACTGAAGCAAAACCGGATGGAGGATGCTAGAGCACTTGGAATCATTCAAGGTACTGTCTCAGACACCATTTTTCCGAGGATAGCAAATGAAGAGACTGCAAAGGGAGCTTGGGAAGTTTTACAGCAAGAATACAGATGAGACCAAAGTTAGAAAGGTAAAACTTCAGTCCCTTAGAAGAGATTTTGAGTATACAAGAATGAGGGAAAATGAGCTGTTAAAAGACTACTTCACTAGGCTGTTTGATGTTGTAAACAAGATGAAAACATATGGTGAGGAACTGCCTAATGAAAGAATTGTCCAAAAACTGTTGATTAGTTTGACTAAACCCTATGATTCAATAGTGAGTGTTATAGAAGAAACCAAAGACACTGAAACTCTCAGTGTACAAGATGTGATGGCATCCTTAAGAGCTTTTGATCAAAGGCTCGAGAGGCATGCTGACTCTGCACCTGAGAAAGCCTTTCAAACACTCAATGTTGGATCTAGTAGTCAAGCCAGTGCAAGCAATCAGAAACCACAGTGGAAGGGCAAAAGCAAGAAATGGGAAGGAAAAGGGTATCACAACTCAAGACCTAACCAAGGCAGCAACACCAATGTAGGTCCAAGAACCAAGCAACAATGCAAGCACTGTGATAAATTCCACCTTGGAGAGTGCTGGTTCAAGGACAAGCCTAGATGCCACAAATGCAACAGGTTTGGGCACATTATGAAGGACTGCAGATCAAAGAATGTGCAACAAGTAAACTGTGCAAATCAAGTGGAAGAAGAAGCAAATGTGTTCTGTGCTTTCAATGTAAAAATGGAGAGAAACAATGAAGTGTGGTACATTGACAGTGGCTGCAGCAACCACATGACTGCACATGAGTCTTTACTTATTGACATCGACACAAACTTCACTGGAAAAGTGAAAATGGGAGATGGAAACATTGTCAAAGCCACTGGAAGAGGAACTCTGGTTATCAACACCAAGAAAGGAAGAAGATGTATAAGGGAGGTGATGCTAGTGCCTGGATTGGATGAGAATCTACTTAGTGTGGGTCAAATGATGGAGCATGGCTATTTCCTACTCTTTGGGGGAACTGTGGTTGAGATCTATGATGACAGATCCCTATCAAACTTGGAGACCAAAGTGGAAGTGAAAAACAGAAGCTTTCCACTTGTACTGAAGTACTTAGAAGAAGTGGCAAAGAAAGCAAGTGTGACAAGTTCTATGAAACTATGGCACAAGAGACTTGGTCATTTAAACATGACAAGCTTACAAAATCTGCAAAAGGATGAAATGGTGCAAGGTATACCAAAAATGGATCAATGCAATGAAATATGTGAAGGGTGTGTGTTTGGCAAGCATCACAGAGATTCATTTGAAGCTGGAAAGGCTTGGAGGGCAACAAAGCCACTCAAATTGATTCACTCAGATGTGTGTTGACCAATGAGAACAACAACAATCAGTGGAAACAGGTATTTCCTAACCTTCATTGATGATTATTCACGGATGTGTTGGGTGTATTTCATGAGGTTCAAGTCTGAGGTATTCACAATATTCAAGAAGTTTAAGGCAATGGTGGAATTGCAAAGTGGATACCAAATCAAAAGACTAAGAAGTGATAGGGGAGGTGAGTACACCTCACATGAGTTCAATGTATTCTGTGAAGATGTAGGGTTGGAGAAGCAACTCACTGTGGCATATTCACCACAACAGAATGGGATTGCAGAAAAGGAAGAATAGGACTATAGTCGAAATGGCTAAGTCTATGATGCATGAGAAGAACATGCCTTATAAATTTTGGGGTGAAGCTGTGAACACCTCAGTGTATCTATTGAATAGGTGTCATACTAAGGCATTGGAGAAGAAGACTCCATTTGAAGTGTTCAGTGGAAGGAAGCCTTCTGTGAAGCATCTGAGAGTGTTTGGCTCAGTGTGATACAATCTCATCCCTCATCAACTAAGGCACAAGTTGGAGAAATCAAGTAACAAGGGTGTTTTTGTAGGCTATGGTACCAGTGAGAAAGGATACAGAGTTTATAATGTGTTGACTCAAAAGATAATCCTATCAAGGGATGTTATCTTTGATGAAGACTCAATGTGGAACTGGGATACAATGGTAGAGGAAAAGGACAGTGTCTCTCTACAAATTGACCTAAACAAAAGGCAAACAAGGGAGCCTATAGAGACCTCAGTTCAAGAAGAAGTCACAGATAATGGTGACGTACAAGAGACTCCACAGCAAGCTACTATGAGTCCACAATCAAGTCAATCACAGACAACAACTCCTAGTTCAACTCCAGTAAGATTGAGAAATCTGGATGAGATTTATGCTACATGTAATTACTGTGTAGTAGAACCAGAAACATATGAAGAAGCTGAGAAAGACAAAGCTTGGAAGAAAGCAATGAAGGAAGAGCTTGAAATGATAGAAAAGAATGACACTTGGGAACTTGTAAATCGACCAAGTGAGAAGCCTGTGATTGGTGTGAAATGGGTGTACAAAGTGAAGCTAAATCTAGATGGTTCTGTGCAAAAGAACAAGGCCAGGTTAGTGGCCAAAGGTTACTCACAGAAACCTGGTGTAGACTTCAATGAAACCTTTGCTCCAGTAGCAAGGTTAGACACCATAAGGACCTTGATAGCACTAGCAGCCAAGAAGGGTTGGAAGCTGCATCAATTGGATGTTAAATCTGCATTTCTAAATGGAGTGCTAGAGGAGGAGGTGTTTGTGGAACAACCTCAAGGGTTCACAAGTCAAGAGTTTCCAGAAAAAGTGTACAAGTTAAGGAAGGCTCTTTATGGCCTAAAACAAGCTCCAAGAGCTTGGTACAGTGAGATTGATTCCTATTTCATTGAGAAAGGATTTCAGAAAAGTCCTAGTGAAGCTACACTCTACACCAAGACAGAAAGCAACAACAAGACACTCATTGTCTCAATCTATGTAGATGATGTTGTCTACACTGGAAATGATGCTGCAATGATGGAAGAGTTCAAGGAAGAAATGATGAAGAGGTATGAGATGACTGACCTAGGCCTCTTGCATCATTTTCTTGGCATTGGGGTAATTCAAAAAGCAAGTAGCATCTTTATTCATCAAAAGAAGTATGCTGAAACTTTGCTTGAGAAGTTTGGTTTGAAGGGTTGCAAACCAGTTTCTACACCCTTAATTGCAAATGAGAAGCTCAAGAAGGAGGATGGAAGTGAACCTGCAGATGCTAGTCTCTATAAAAGCATTGTTGGCAGTCTATTGTATCTAACTGCAACAAGGCCGGATCTGATGTTCTCAGCAAGCCTACTTTCTAGGTTTATGCAGAATCCTAGCAAGATACATATGGGCACAGCTAAGAGAGTGCTAAGATATGTACAAGGAACTCTTGATTATGAGATCAAATATGAG